ATTATGTCTGAATTTATTATGTCTGTATAGGTCTTTTATTAAGTTTTTAGTTTTATTTAATTTGAGTTATTTTAATATTTCAACAAACTAAATGGAAATGAAATAATATATATAAATGTGTATGTACATATACAGTATATATATGTATGTGTGTGTGGTTGTACATACACATATGTAGTTGTTTTTTTGGTGTTTGGCTTAGTGTTATGTTAGAATCATTATTATACTCTTATACCTTTTGTTCTTTAATATTTTTAATTGTTTTTAGCTTTATTTTTATTTTTTCTTTTAAATGTTAAGTTTTGAAATTTTTGTATGCATTTGTCATTTTTATTTAATCTCTTTATTTTAAAATGTGTATAAGTAGTATTTATAAAGTTTTAGCTTTTAGTTTTGGATGTGTTTTTAGTTGTTTTAATACTACAATTGATTGCTTCTGTTGTCCTCATTTGTAAGTCGCTTTGGATAAAAGCCTCTAATAAATGACTAAATAAATAAATAAAATAAATAATCATTAAATCACCACAGCTTCTTGTCTCCATTGACAACACGCACGATTTGTGTCGATTGCAAGTGACGTCACAGGTATCGGAGAGTGCAAGTAACATTGTAATTTAGTTTATTTTGTCTTGTCTTCACCACCTGGCTACTGTTGTAAAATGTTGAGAGATTCAAACAAAAAGTAATCAATAAATAGAACAAAATAAAAAAGACTGCAAGAGACGTCGCTAGCGGAAGCGCAAGTGTCTGAGAGTGCAAGCCTGAGAGTGCAAGTGCAAGGCTGCAGCCAGACCCTTCTCCCCAGCTTCCCCAAATCCAGCTCCAGACGGCTGCTCTGACTGAAGGTGCCATCAGACGCCTGTCTGTGACCCGTTACACTGCCCTGACCCAGAGAGCGGGACGTCCCGTCTGCCCTGCTGAACTCCCAGCTCAGGTCCAGAGTGTGAGGAGCAAAACCAGATGCCTCGCACTGAACCAGCAGCACCTGCCCAGGAACCAGCAGAGGAAGAGGAGACGGGTAGATGGAGAGAGACGGAGGCTCTGGAAGAAAAGAGGGAGTGGTTACATATAACTGAAATTTATTATAACACATACAGTTGATAAACTAGATGGCTACAGCATCATCTCACCAACTATCTCCAGGTCCACAGCTACCTGAGCCAGCAGGTGAGGAAGATAGACTGTGCACATGTAAGTTCCTGAGTGTCTCACTTGAGCTTCTTCCAGAATCAGTGATGCGTTTCCTGTCTCATAGAGGCCTGTGATGTTGATATCTGCTCCGGTCTCTGATGTCTCTGCAAACCGATCGGTCTTGCCGTCGTAAGCGAGGACCAGCCGTCCTTCACCCCGGAACTGATAGCGCCACTCGACAGAGAATCCAGAGCCGTGAACCGGAGAAGACGGATCGACCCAGAACCCACAGTCCAACAGAACCGCTTCTCCCAGTCTAGAGCGGACCACAGGAGTTTTACTGGACACACTCAGAATTACTTCAAGAAAGAGAAGAAAAAGATAATTTTTTTCTTATTTTTCTTGTCAAAATAGATATAGACTGGAACATGCAATTGGATACGCCTCAGGCTGAAGGAAATGTAAATTCAAGCTCAAACAAAACTTTCAGTTGTGCTGCCATTCTGGATTGCATGAAGAATAGGATGCAGGAGAAGAATGCTATGATCATCTAAATACATTTTGCTTAGTACAGTTCTATTGGATCATCGAAGGTCAACAGCAAAGACACTCAAGCGCAAATCCTGGCATCGGCAGGTCGCAGCGCCACTTCCGGTGGCATACCCAGCTGCCAGTGGCAGCTGCCAGAGTTCGTGGCAGCTGCCACGGTCTTTCTAGCTGTTTCTGCTGTTTGTTCGGTAAAACTACACTGTGCATACTAT